GACATTGGAGACTGATGCAACTGGTAATCTAATTTTTTTTTTGTTCTTGCGTTAATAATACTTTCATGCTCTGCAGGAGTGCGGGTGGCTTCTGTGATGTTCTGATAGCGCACTGCGGGTTGGGACATGGTGGATTGTTTCTCTGGGAGTGTAGTAAAGCTAAAGTTAACTTTTACATTTTTGTTTGCTTTTTTGACTTGTTTTTTAAGTCTGTGCCATCCAGGACCTTGCCCTTCGTGCCCAGCCTTTGTGACAAAAACATGTGAATGTGGACAAACAAGGTGAGAATGCTTCTATTATACAAACAGAAGTTTATATAAGAATAGTTTATTAAAAGTTAATATAATAAATTTTTTCTTTCTACAGTTTATTCAAAGTTTACAGAACAAAGTTTGTTCTGGGCTGTAGCTTTTATTTGTGTGCTAAAATAATTTGGAGAATTTTATATTTTTAAAAAAATGTGTTTACTTTTAATCTTTTAAGAAAACTCTTTTTAAAATTATTTTTATTTTTATCTGTATTAAAATCAATTCATGGTACTTGCAGCTGAATTGTCCAAGCAGACTATGAGTTGATTTAATTTTGGAATCCTATTCTAGTATTTATTTATTTTATTTTGTAGAAGACGTAGAGGAAGAAGTAGAAAAAGGTTCACGCCTTTTCTGTCTGAATGGAACGTAATGTTGAGTTACTCCATTCAAGAAATAATGATTTCAAAAATAACGTGTAAATTTCTGGGAAGCTGTACAACTAGCAAGAGAGAATTCCAGATCCGAAGGCTATCTTTTCCTTGCCTGTTTGGTGCATATAGTGTCATTACCAACAGCAATTTTAATCTAGCTATTCCTTGCGTTTAGATGTTTAATAGCTGCAACTAACTTTAATTTATTATTTTTTCCCGGATGCCAGCTGCTTTCACCAGGTTGCTGATTTTTATAATACTGCATTTAATACTTCAAACTTGCTTCTAAATAGCGTTTTTTGATACATACTGTGTCAGCATCCAAGATGTATGGCATTGGCGTCTCTGACTTTAAGATGTTTTAAAGTTAGTATTTCAAATGTACATTTTACAGCCATTTTATGAGGCCAGCCAGAATGGAAAAAGAGGTGAATTTATTGTTTCGTCCCATTTTTTTAACAATTTAATTAAAAAAACCCAACTTTTTTTGTAGACTACTCTCTCACTGTGAAGCCCACACCTATCTTCATTGTGCTTAGTGGACTTAGGATTGTTTAAGTCTTTGGAAAGATGCCTGTAATAGAAATATCTACTCTTCTGGCATGATGCATAACCATGCATCAGGTTCAAATTATAGTGTCACCTTTTTTTTTTTTTCATTTTGTTGAGAGAAGATTCTGTAGACTCTCTGCTGTGGTAACTCTCCTACTTTAGGGGGCCAGGAGAGGGAAAATGGGGGAAAACAGGGGACTTATTTCCTAAAACCTCTTTCATTAATAAGTTACGCGCCCTATCAAAGACTTGGGCGTTTCACTGGAAAAGTATTTTCTTTTTTAATAAATGCTCTATAGATATTAAGGCAGCTGACAGACTGTGGTGTTGTTTCTCTACAGCCATTCAGTTCGCTGTGGCCAATCAACAAAAATTCATTGTTCTAATGTGTGTGGAAACACTTTAAACTGTGGTAAGCACAGCTGTACTCAAGTGTGCCATGCAGGAAAGTGTTCACCTTGCCAGTTAACAGTGCAGCAGGGTAAGTGTTGGCTTACGTATCTCCACTCTATACTACAAAAACAAGACAGTGAAAGAAACCAGTTCCAAGAGGCAAGTGCTTTGTTTTTGCTTAGCAAAACCAAAACCTATTGCTAGAACATTTTAAAAAAGGCAAATGTGTCGGCGTCGTTATATATTTGAATAGGAATATAAATGTGACTAGAAAGAATCCTGCCAAGATGATGAGGCTGTTGGAGCACATGCCCTGCTAGGGCAGACTGGTGGTACTGGACTTGGTTAGCTTGAGAAGGCTGAGTAGTGGCCTCTCAGTAACTAATAGATGGTGACCAAGAAGACGGAGACAGGCTGTGCAGGTGAGGAGGATGAGCGACAACGAGCCTAAGTTGAAATGTTGTAACTAGCTATAAGGAAGAACTCTTTTCTTGGAAACTTGGAGGTTTTCAAGGCCGAACTGAACAAAACACTGAGCAACGTGGTCTGATGCTGTGGCCAACTCTGCTTTAAGTAAGGACTTGGAGTAGCTGATCCCCCAGGGGCCCTTCTGACCTGAATTGTCCTATGGTCCTACTTCATCTTTTACTATAATTCTGAAACTTGGTTGAACAGTACGTGGAAGAAGAACAGAAAGAGATATAGGAAAGCACATTTCAGCCAGCTACTCATGGTTTCTGTTAAAATGTTCTAAACTTGATCTTGAATGGAAATTAAATTGTCCAAGTAGGTGTTCCAGTATACAAACGCATTTTTGTTGAACAGTTTATAGAGAAAATTGCAAGTCAATTTTCTCAACTTGTAAGGTAATAATTAACTTGTTATGTATAGTGCTTTAATAAGTAAACTTTTCGTGCAGATAGTACTCTGTATCGAAACAAACAAAACAGGAATTCCAGCTTCTGTAGGACTGAGAAACCTCTCTTGCTGAAGTAAATCTAAAGAGCAGCAACTTCATTAGCCTTCTAAAAACTGACTGTAACAATTTTTCACCTACTACCTGTTTATATTTGCTGTACTACTGGAGGTGTTTTGTCACTGATATTCTCTTATGTTGTTTTCTGTGGAATATTTCTTTCAGTGTGTTACTGTGGAAGCACCTTTAAAGAAGTATTGTGTGGGACAAAGGAAGAATTCTCTGATGGATTTGGGAATTTCTCTTGTCAAAATATATGTGGCAAGTAAGGTCACTATAATTTAGGCTTTTGAAAAGAAAAAGGTCATTTTATTCACACTTACTGATCGTGATACTTTTAGATAATTCCCCTTTTCTCTTTTTTTTTTTTTGTTTCTTTGTTGTTTTGTTTTGTTTTCCAGAAAATTAAATTGTGGGAGACACAACTGTACACAAGTATGCCATCCTCAGCCTTGCCAGCTCTGTCCACGACTTCCACAAGTAGTGTATCGCTGCCCCTGTGGTCAGACTCCTCTCAGCAAGTTACTGGAACTAGGATGTGTTGAACGCAAAATATGCACAGACCCTATCCCATCGTGTGGAAAAACATGTGGCAAACCTCTTTCTTGTGGTAGCTATGGTAATTAGAACTTTCTGCATCACAGCATTCAAGTTATCTCATTGTTTAAAAAAAAAAGAGTGATCCTTAAGTGCCTCATTTCAAGAAATAAAGGATTTGATTAGTGAATTTTGGATTTTAACCAAACTGCATGTAAAAGCCACTCTGGCTGTTTGTTCATCATGATACCTCAGAGTAAGGAAGTGCTTTTCTCTAGAAGGCACAAACTCTAACTGGGCTTTTAATTGTCTTTACATGCACCTTTCCTGTATTGGCAGAGGAACACAGCTGTAGGAATTTCCAGAGAGGAGTATGTACCGATGTCTTTTAAAAGCCCACCTGGATCTTTGACTTTCACATGGACACTAGTGGAGATAAATGACTTTGTTGGGATGCCTCCAGTAAATACTGATTTCCTGCCGTTGTAAGAGGATCATGAAGTAAAAAGTAGCTTTGGGAAGTTGGAGAAAGTTATGTGCAGAAGCAATTTTGAGACTTCAGTGAGTCCATTAGGCAGCTCAGGTGTATTTAACTGTGAGACTGTGAAGCTCCAGTTTTACAGACTGTGTATTTAATCATGATTTGTTGGACTTCAGAGAGGAGAGAGACTAATGCTGTCAAGATGAAAGCTTCTTACTAGTAACTGCTCCATTCTGTCAGTCCAAGGTCAGCAAGTAGAAAGGGAATGAGTAATTTAGCCTTTAGTTGAATTTCGGTTAACCTAGTAAGTGAAATATGAAGGTATGCATAGTGAGTCATTCCTTTGGGCTGAGAAGGAAGAAAAGATTACTTAAAACTCCTGGAACTTGACTAAGATAGTATCACACAAAATCTTTTTCTTTTCGTATGTTAATGTGAAAAAAAGATTTAAAATGTGTGCATCTTCAGTGTTAATTGTAGGCTCGAAACTCTAGTCTGTAGATTCAGGATTAAAAAGTTGAAAACAATGGCAAAATTTTATGCACCTTTAACTCAGAATAGTTAATTTGTTTGGAAAGCCAGCTGCACGTAAGCTTGGTATCCTTGACCAGTGATGCTCCTAATGATGAAATTTCAGGTCATGGATTTTATTTTTTTTATTAATTGTTAATCTTTGTGTTTTAATTTTGCTAGAGTTCATTCATACGTGTGAAAGCCTTTGCCATGAGGGAGACTGTAGACCATGTTCACACACATCAAATATTTATTGTAGGTGTGGCTTCAAAAAAAAGGTGAGTGTATAAAACTTGGCCACAGAAACAGGTGTAATCTTTGTTGTTTTCAAAAGCTGTGGACAAAAAGGAGCTGGAATAGTTGAGGAAAAGAAAGCTAAGAAGTGGAAAGATGTGCTGTGCTCCTTAGTTGCAAGAACTTCTGTTGTGTACAAATTGATAGATGCTAACGAGTTTATACTGTGGAGTGCTAACAGAGACTGCTTACTGCAAAAGCAATTTTTTGAAGTATTTTTGCCAAGTTTACACAGAATTCTGTTTAAGCTGGTTTCAAAGTCCTATATTATCCTGCAGTAGTGGGGTTTGGGTTTTAGTTTGTGCAGCTTCTCAGACACCAGAAAGCTGTTGCTTGGAAAAGTACAAGTGAGCTACAGTGATAATTTAAATCATGAAAAATGCGACACTCAGAATGTGATGTTGTGATGACTGAAGGTGCAAATGTAGTTGAGCAACGACATTATTTTCATCCATCACCTTTTGTTTTCACGTTGAGGTCTTTAACTGGGTAAAACTTCTTTGATAATGGCATTTGACTTCACTTTCTCTTTTTTTTTATCAAGTCAGGCTTGCATTTTTGGGACAGTTGGTCAAAGCACAAAGTTATGGCTCTTTGAAGATTCTCTGGGAGAGCTCTTTTGATTTCCTCCGTGCAGGTTTCTGGTTTGTTAGGACAAACCTGTTTCTGTCACTTCACAGAAGTGGGGAAGTGAATTAAGTGGGGAATACAAAACTACAATATTTTTTTAATTGGTATTGAATCTTTAAGGGAAAAGTATAGTGTTACAATTTTTATTTGAGGATTTTTCTTCCAGCTTTTGTTTCGCTTTTGTATAAAGAAGTGTTAAACACATGAGAACTGAGCGTGCTGCTTCTTTCTGTATTATGTGACTAGATGTTTTCTAGGTAAGTTTCACTTGATTCATCTGTTTTAACCGAATGGCTCCCTGTTTGTTTCCTAGGAAGTCCCGTGCGCTCTCCTCAGAAATAAAGGTACAGTGTTATGTTGCATAAATAATGTGGAGTTGTTTGAAAAATGACACACGGTTCATGTGAATTTGGGGTGTGATTGATGCAGCTGGCAAACATCTGATCAGTACTGCTTCTTTTAGCCCTACTTCTATGCCAAGTTGGTCATTTCTCGAAACGCTGCTGCTTTTGGAAAGAGGTTTGAAATAAACCTCTTTCCTTGTGGGAAAGATGGATAGAATGAAAGACTTCTTCAGCATTTATCTCGAAGATTCAAGGCACGCTGTCTGTTTCAGTTGGAACAGTTTCTTGTGCCACCTGCCGTATTCAATAGGTTGCCCCCTTGGCACAACTTGCACAGCTCAGATGCAAAGAACTTTTGCGCTGCTCCTGTCCGAGTTGCTGGGGAAATACAAGCTTTGCTTCTGCTTCACAGTTACGTGCTGCTGGTCTTTGCATCTGAGCTTGGCAGAGAGTTCCCATTTGACACTTCTTGGTGTTCTGGATGTAGCATCTCAAAATTCATCTCAGGGATCCCTGTCATACTGAGGTACTTAAAAGATACATAAGGTAGTAATACACGTGTTGCTGAATTTGAGCTTTTGTCTGTGAAGACTTTGCTCTTCAGAATCCAGAAGTGATTGCTTTTGTCACTTGTAGATGGTGATAAGGATGTTCTTTGATAGCACTAGTTTCATGAGCATATGGGCAGTAGTTGTATTTAGCAGACTTCTACTGCCTCACCAATTTGAGCAGTCTTAAATTTCATGTTTGTGCTACTCCAGTGTTATCAGGACATCCTGTTTTCTGTACTCTATTGTGCAGAGTTTATGGTGTAAAGACTAACGTGAAATAAACTAGTTTCATATATTCTGCTCTCCAAAATCCTTTTGAACAAGAGTTTGTTTAAAGGAAGCCAAGTGTTTCACATGGGGAATTAATGTAGAAGAGCAAGTAGCTTAAAAGTTTGCTTGCTGACTTACTCTGCATTAGTCTCTTCTAGACCGTGCTCTGCAACATAATATTGTAATTGCAACTTTTGTTCTTAGGATAGGCGAAGACATAAAAGTTACGACAGGTTTTTTGTGATTTTTTTTTTTGTTTTTAATAGCTGCTATTACATTCATGTGTGACAAACGATGCAACAAGAAAAGATCATGTGGACGACACAAGTGCAATGAAGTTTGCTGTGTGGTAGGTTTACATGTGATTTTATAAAATTAATTGTTGAGTGTGTGTTTGGTTTTGGTTCTGATGTTAAAAGACTTTTTAGTTGTTGTGTCTTCTCATTTTTGTGCATCTGCAGTCTCTGTAGTATTGGTCATGCTCAAAAAGTTTGTGTGTGTGCACTTATTTTGCAGCGTTTTTTATGGGTATCGTTATAAATGTAAAACCATGTTCCAGCCTAAATACAATTAAATCGATGTAAAGGTGCTTTTTGTCAATGCAGTGATTCCAGGGAGAACGGAGAGGATAAGGGTATTATTTCAGACAAGGAACATAAGCTCTGATGTAGCTGTGTCCGCAACAGAGGTCTTAACAGGATCCACTTTAAAAATTATGTATCCATACAGTGATGGAAAAACTGTATAGATCAGGCCCAAGCTTTTTTTTTGCGCTATACAGTTTTGTCAATCAGTAGATCATGACCTCACAGAGAAAAATAAACTGATGGGGTTTATAGTTTAATTCTGCCTGGACAGGTTTACAATTTAGTTTTCTTTTTTGTCTTCCTCTAGGACACAGAACATAAGTGTTCTTTGGTTTGTGGTCGTAAACTCAACTGTGGGCTTCACAGATGTGAAGAACCTTGTCATCGGGGCAGTTGTCAAACGTGCTGGCAAACAAGTGAGTTACGTGCAAGACTACGTTATTTCTTACATGTTGTAGAAGTTTATTCACTTAACTGGTCAGAGTTGGGCAGAGAATGTGGTCCAAATTGACCAGAACCTGAAGAACGTGCAGTTGATTTTGGTTCTGTGTTTTTTCATGAAAGTTTTTACATGGAAGTTTTTGCATTTCAGATGAGTTTACTAAGTGTTGAATTTGAATAGTTAAAATTGAATTACAGTTAAATATATTCAGTTATGTATGTTGATCTAGCAATCACTTAAAAATTTGAGGAATCATGCAAGGAAAACAATAAAAAAAAGCAGTTTGGAAAGATATTTTCTAAGCTAAGGGAAGTCTTGTTTGGCAATGTTGTAACTGTTAAAGATATTGGAGTATGTAGCAGAATTTGTTCAACTTCAATTTCAGACTTTCCCAACTCGGTACACTAGTGGTTTTTCTGTGGACAGGGCCATCTGCAGGAACGAAAGATGTCAGTCGTGTGCGTCTTGGGCTTTCTGGTTGTGTTCTGGATGGTGAAAATTAGTACTGAATTCCTAGAAATAGCTTGACCACCAGCAGGTATTAATTTTCTTATGATCGCTGAACTGTTTAAAGATTTAAGCTGGTGCAAGAGCTTTAGACAGGTACATACTCTATTAAAAGCTGGGCCAGTTGATTATACTAGTTTTCTACAACTGTTTTTTACCACCTGATGTAGGGGACCATACGCTGGTTATTTTGCACCGTTATAATAGGTAGGTAATACTAAATTTTCTGATTTTGGCCTGAAGCAGACGGAAGAATGCTTCTGTTCCCTTCTGCTAAAGAACCTTTAGTTGATCTGGAACATCTTCATATGCGATAGTTTGATTTTTTTTTTTTTCTCAGCTCATATTTTAGTATAGGTTTCCCCTTTCTTTATGTAGATGTATCTTATCACAGAAATTATAAGCTGTTTATTAAAAGCAGTTTTTGAAAGTTGGGCAGAAAAAGCCCTTAATGGATTCTTCAGCTTGTATCCATCCTTCCACTCAGGGTGTTCGCTTAAAGTTTGAAAGTTTTCTTTACATCTATCATTAAGTCTTACAGCTGCAACTTCTCGGTTTATTTTTGCATCTGCTGTAATCCACAATTAATCTGTGAGGGGAGAGTGTTTCTAGAAGAGAATATAAATGCTTACCTGAAGTTCCCCTTCGGGTTTCATCAAATCCTGTCTTTTGTCTAGTAGTTCTGCAGTCACTGCTGGAGAAAAGTGAGTCTTCTCTCTCAGAAACTGGGTACTGCTTTGGAACTGCTCACTGGGATGTGGGAAAGAGGACAATGAGATGTTCAAAGTGTGAACCAGACCTCCTGACTTTTGGTGAAAAGGAAAGAGACAGTTTTGTACATTGTGAGGATGCTGTTGACAGCTGGAAGTGTCTCAGCTGCAGTAGTACGTGTGTCTCTCCTAGATGATATGCACATGGACATAGTCAAAGAACTCCATTTTTATGGAGACCGACTTTTCATGGAAACATCCTGGAAAAGAGAAGGTACTGGAGCCTCTAAAGCTCACTGTGGTTGAAATAGCATTGTAGTCTGTCTTAATAGCCTATGAATATGATGTGCATGCTGACTGTACCTCTCTTTAAAATAAAAAAAATGTTCTGTGTCCAATGTGGTTTCATCCACATTGCTGCAATATTTTTGAGGATTGTATTTCACTCTCAGACCTAAGATTCAGATCCCTGTCTTAGCCTGGAGAGACCTAAGGATTGCTTGCCCTGTGAATTGTTCCACTGTTGGATGTCATGCAATCGGAGAGGTCAGGCTTTGCTGCTGAAATTTGACAGTGAGGCCCTTTTCTGAACACAGGAAAAGCAGCTGTCTACTCAGGGAGCTGGTATGATCATTTGGCTTAAACCTTTGTGTCCCTGAAGCCTTCCATTCCAAATCGGTCCTGAGGTAATCAGCTAAAGCAGTATCTTCAAAGATTTCTTACTTGCTTCCCCTGCGTTCTGCTAGTCGAGATTCCAGAGGCATACTTGGTGTGGTTCTGGCCCCGTAGCTGATGGGGAGCGCTGCCCAGCACCAAGAAGTCCATCCTTGGCTCTGATCCACCTGTCCAGCCACTGACTTGCAGTTGGGCTGCATCAGCCGTGGTATCATGTGCCGTGGCATGGTCAGCTGCAAGCTCTTTGCCACTCATTGTATTGGATTTCTTGCCCTTGCCCCTCCAGCTCCACTGCTGGCTTTGCTGGGAATGGTGGGGGCTGGCATCAGGATGCAATATTGGAGTGCATCTACAGTGATTTTCTGTGCTTCCCAAGTACTTTCCCTTTCCAGTGTCGTTTCCTCAGTGCTGAGAGATGAGGTGCTAGGATCTCTTTAAATACACCCAGTCTACTTCCAGACAGCAATACATCTCTTGGGGAAAATAAATGATGTCAGCATGAGACAGCTTTTTTTTTTTTTTCCTCCTTTTCCCTTTTTTCTTTTTTTTTTTTTAAGTTGTCAGATACTGTCATTCTACTCTTTGGCTCAGACCTCTCTGCACTCCCTCCCCATTACCCTGATTAGTGCTAATTAAGGAACCTTCGTTATAGTTTCACTTCTCATCAATGGCAAGCAGCCAGTGTACCTGTCTAACACCCGGGTCTTCCAGGGACCTTGGTCTCTGGGCTTTCATCTTCCTGGACCAAGGAAGGTTTGTGGCTTTGAAGCCTGGAGGATCATAGGTTGTTTCAAGACCTGTAGTGAGGGACAACAAAAGCCCTATTCTTTTTTCTACTTTCCACAGAAAATCGATGGGTGTTCTGCAACTTCTCTACTTTTTCTACTTCTTCTTTCTAACCCTTGATGTTTTGTTCTCCCCAGGATTCTTACTTGCTGGGATTTATTGTAATTGAGTTTCCTTGGATCTTTTCTACTAACTTGTGCACTCTAACATACATGAGCAAATGGCCAGGGCCTGGCCTGAGATGTAACTGACTGAGCAGACCATAGAAAACAACCAGACAGGAGAAATTTCTGAACATAACAAAAACCGCAGGGAAAAGGTGACAAAAGTTTCAGATAGTGCTGTGAAGAATGGGTGGATTTCACGGATGTTAAGGGTGGGAGATGACTGAGCTTCACAGATAATTGGAGGAGAGGGGTACTGGGAACCTTTTTGGGAGTGGAATATTGCAAGGCCAACAGTGTATCCGGAGTGTGTGTGTGCCTTCACTGGTGAGCTTCAGTCCTGAGGAGGAGGAAGAGGACTTGGCTATTGGTATTCCTGTTCACGTGAATCGTGTTGTTGAGTTGGCTCCATGTTAGTCTGTGTGTCCGGTTACGTTATTGTCATGTATGCATTGCGTGTCGTGTCTTCTGGAATGTGTTCAGTCTGGCTGCTGGCTGGACCTGCGTATTCATCCAGCAGCCATCACATCCATGGAAGTGGGACAGTAGGAACCTTTGGGGTTTTAGAGTTCAACAAATTTTGCTTTGGTAGACTAGGAAGGAGGAATCCTGTGATTCCCAGAGTCGGAGAACGTGCTGAATTCAGCAGCTCCCTTAACATGCGTGTCTTCTCTTCAGGCTGGAATTGTTGTTTTGCGTTTTTATTGCCCCATCATTCTCTTACCTTCTCCATCATTCTCTCTTGTTCTTTCTGACCCACTATCTCTTTATTTATTTACAGAACAACATACTTGCTTTTTGTTCTCAGATCTCTTTCTATATGACTTCTGATGTTAGTATTTTCTCGTAGTGTCCTGTTTTGCCAAGAATTTATCTGTTTGAACTGTAGATTGCATTCCAATCAGTCTCCCTCACAGTTTCTTTATAGTCTGAAAAACAAGAGTGAACTGTGTTAATTTTTGTGCAGTTTTAAGTTTCAGTTGGGATGGTGTATGTAAGTATTTCCATTCCTTTTTTTGTTTCATCACTGAGATTTGGAATCTCGTGATGAGAGTTCAAAATCTGTTTCCCAAAAGCAGAGGGTGGAGAGGCAGGGGGGAACAAGAAAATGTCTACTGCCTGAGAAAAGAGAACTTCCCAAACATACAAAGTTGGCTTTGAAGTATCTGGACAGATCCATAAGCTGCTTATGAGGATCCGTGTCATACTATGAGGATCCATGTCATAAGTATACAGAAGAAATTGTAGGAAGAAGTCTACAGACTGGCAGCCTTTTGGTCATTTTCTCTGGAATCTTCCCAGTACCATGTGCAGGGTTTGGCAAAAGGACAAAATCTAACCACTGGTCTGAAAAAGAGATGGCGGAGGGAAGTTGGAAGCACAACATTTGGATGATGTGCTTTCTGGAAGGGAATTCAAGGGGTATCTCCCCATTTTTACGTCGAGGATAGAACAGCAATAGCTTTTAACTTGACATGAGCAGTTCTCTTGCTCCAGTTCAAAATGTTGCTGTCAAAGAACCACTCCCTAAAAATAAGTGTAATTCCCAATGAAGTTATCATAGTCCAGTTTTCTTGTAGGAGCCACAAAAGCTGCTAATTTCACTACAGTGGTGCTTAATATCAAAAACCAAAGCTGGAGTAAAACGTTTGCATATTATTTGAAGATTTCTCATAGTGGAGAAGTGCAAATACATGTAGGCATTGGGACATGTTTGACTTGTTTTTTCAGGTTTTGACGAGTTAACTTGTTATTGTGGTGAATCTGTGATTTACCCCCCAGTCCCCTGTGGCACTCAGCCACCAGAGTGTAAAAAAACGTGCACCAGGCCACATGATTGTGATCACCCAGGTACGTCAGGCCGTTCAGTTTTGCTGCTTTTTCTTTCGTTTGTTTGTTTTTTCTTTTTTTTTTTTTAATCAACGTGTACAAAGAGCTGTTTGAAAATCTATTTGCTTTTTTATTAGATGCTTTTTCAGTAGTTGTAAATATTTCCAAAAGCCAACCGACTAAAGACTTGCTGTGAATACTAGCAGTGGTACTTCTGAGTGGTAAAAGCATTGGATTTTTTTCTTGTCGTTGTTAATAGTCACAACCCATTAAACGCTATATTCCAAAGATGAGGTGCTCTGTTGGAACAGTAGGATAATCTGGTGAACGGTTAGTTTCTACGTTCCTTGGAATTACATTGGCTGATGGCAAAGTATAGCACAGGTCAGGCAGATATGCTTTCTGAAAAATTCTGTCTGATAGCATAACCCTACTCAGAAGTTAGAAAACCCTCTGCTACTTCATTTAGAAAATACAGAAGAATATTCACCTAAAAGCCTGCCACCGTAATTGTTAAAGGGTACTTTAAAAACCAGATTATCTGTGCCCGAAGCATCATAATTGCCATAAATTGTGTAGTTCTGAAATGCAAACTCGTGTTTAATAGTCTTTGCTGCCTCCTTTAATGCATGGGACTGAAGTGTGCTAACGAAACTGTGCTGGCTTTTCTGCTTCCGTGACCGTAGTGTACCATTCCTGTCACAGTGAGGAGAAATGTCCACCCTGTACCTATCTCACTCAGAAATGGTGTATGGGCAAGCATGAGGTAAGTCTGGACACTTAATGTTTTCAAATAATAAGTTATATTCTAGGACTGTAGGCTTAGATGTTTGGAATGGAAAATGTTGCTGGAATTGGAGCTTAATGTGATGAAATTAGAAAAGTGGTCTGACTGCGTACGGCGTAAAAGATACAACTCTGACATAAAGAAAAACTCATATTTTAGTATTACTGTGTGGACAATGCCAAGTGAAGGTGTTAACAGTAAAGTTCTTTGAGATTTGCATTTATAGTTTTTCACTTTTAATTGTCATCTTTTTCCTCCCCTCTTCCAGCTGCGAAGTAATATTCCTTGTCATCTCACTGACATTTCCTGTGGACTTCGCTGCAATCAGATGTTAAAATGTGGAATGCACAAATGTAAAAGAATCTGTCATAAAGGAGAATGCCTTATAGATGAAGAGTGTAAACAGCCATGCGTTATTCCAAGGCTGTATTGTAATCATCCCTGTATGGCTCCATGTCATCCTTCTTCACCCTGCCCGACAACATCCTGCTGTGCGAAGGTCAGATGCTCAAAGAAAGTTCATGGCCAATTCACAGACTGATTGCATGCTTTAATTATTAGCCAGCAATGGTTGTGATAAAAAAATGACATGTTTGTATATTGATAGCGTGACATTATTTCTGTAAACCAGTAATATTTTTTTAAAAAAAACTATTCATCACTCTTAGCCGCTATCCCACTAAAAAGGGATTTTTTTTAAGAAATAAATTTACCTCCCTTGCACCCCTCCGTGGCCATAAAAAGACCAAAGTTTAAAAGAGCTACTCTTGTGTGACACAACAGGTCGATCTTCAATGTGAATGTGGAAGGAGAAAGGAGAGTATGATTTGCTCAGAAGCATCTAACACGTATCAAAGGTTTGTGCAGTAATAATTCTTTTAATTCCTTACTGGACTGACTTCTTTGCAGTTCGATTACATTTTGAGCTTGGCTATGTTTAATTCACAAACTTTTTTGTACTTTGACGTACGGTTTCTTTTTTTGTATTCCCCTGAGCTGTCATACCTGCTATGCTGTACTAGAACACGTTCTTCTGTTCCCTGTTGTTAGTCTTACTGTGGTGGTGTGCCAAAGCCTGAATGTCCCATCTGTGGAACTCCGCT